CTTTCTTCATAAGGACAGAAAGTTCCTTCTTGGTGTAGGACTTGGCATCGTCAGACTTACGTTTCCAAGTCTTGTTCTTGTTGTACGCTGGCTTGCTATCGTTACCAGACGAGGACTTGGACTTGAGTTTCTTCAGAGTCATGCAGTCAGCAGTATTGTGAGTGCTGGACTCATGGTAGTCACACCACTTTCCTTCATTCTTGGAGGAGTGGTTGTTGTTGCGGCTAGACTTGTACTTTTTGCTGCTGTTCTTCTTCGAAGTAGCTTGCTTGGCATCGCTGCCTTTGTCAACGTCTTCAGCAGATTCCATGCACTCACAGAATCCGATGAGAGTCGTCATCTCGGCAGTGAAAGGATCGAAGTCGTGTTCGTCCATCTTGCGCATCCAGGAACGAGGAATGCCATGACAGATGATGTCAATGAATTCGTCCTGGTTCAACTGTTGATTGGCACCGATAGGTGGCAAACGAGGGAGTTCATCGGTGTTCATCCGAGTGAGGTTGTTAATGTAGGCGCGAGTTGTCATCTCGCTAGGCTTGCGCATCTTGCAACGCATGAAGCGTTTCTGTTTTTCGAGAGCCTTGTAAGGACAGGCTTGTTCGATAACCGCGTTGATTCCGAAGGTGATGTCCACATCGCTTAGAGCAGGTTCTGCTGCACCGTCCCACCATGCAGCTTGGACACGAGCTTGGAATTGGACTTCGGTTTCTCCAGAAGTCACATCGCGTGGAGCAATTGCATTCACAGCAATTTGTCGAAGGGCGTTATGACGCACGGCACGACTGCCTGCACACCCAGCTTCGTAGGCACTCTTTGCAGAGCTGGAAGTCATCTCCTTGAGAAGATGATGTTTGTCATCGGCACTAGCAAGGTTGAGTCCAATGAAGACCTTGTCTATATTCGTGGCCCACTTGATGGTCTCACGTGGAGAGTTGGAGCCATTGATGATGGTGTACTTGGCACTATTTGCGTCTGCAGGAATGGTGCGAAGTTTGTAGGTGGTTGCACGAGTGTCGTCGACCTCGTTGTCTTCGTCATTGTCGACGAGAGGAAGAATGGGTTTGTCACGCAACTGTTTCTCGTAGTTGCTGAACGCATGCTTTCCTTGAGCAATCTTCATGGTGAAGGAATAGGTTGAGGGTAGCTGAAAGCTATTGTGTTTGTTAACAAAATGCACTACGCTAAAAGCTAGTGTAAAGATCTTTCGAGTGTTTTGAGTTTGAGAGAATGAAAGTTATGAGAGAGATTAGAAAGCTACGAAAACTAATCCATGAGAGAGATCGTTGTGAAGCTCATTGAAGTTGGTCTCCCACGGGAGGCCTCGAAGTGTGATATTGTAGGTTATGGTAATAACTCTACGTACTCCACGGTCCATTTCCGGAACACATGGAAACTTCAGCTAGTAGCTGTCTAGTAGCGTGGAAGCTTTCCATGCCGGCTAAATATCTAGAGCGATGTTTCATCGACAACCTACTATGGCAGGCATTAATAATACCCTGTCTCAATGACTATTCGCGAAGGACTACGTCATGAGTCGAACTCAAACCCTATCTAGGATTGAGTCGCGAATAAGGCTAAGAGCCGTGTATTGCACAAAGCCAATCATCTATTTACAGGACTCTACAGTGCAGATTGAGTGCTGAGAGTGAGGACAGGTTCACCTTTCCCATGGAGGAATCCATGGCAGAATGACAACAAAATGGAATCCAAGCCTGACTTTTCCTGGATGCTCCATAGGAAACCTTGGAGATAGCAAATCCTTTTTGAGGGGTGGCTCTGTGAGTGTGTTGGGAAGTTAGTTCTAGAAAAGAATTTGCTATCTCAATGGATTGGTAAAGCGAATGGCCATTTGGTCAACTCTCTTGCCATGGTGAAAAAATTCATATTATTTTTTTCAATCTTGTGGTTGTGAGAACTATTCAGGTCAATGCAGGATTCACGAAATGACCACTTCTGGGTTCCCATTTCCGAAAACTGAAAAGTATCCGTCAAACACGCTCACATTTTGACACCTGTCAGCGGTAAAAGAAGTCATCCTGTACCCGAAAGTGATTAGTTGAAGGGGCTCCAGAGGGGAGAAGGAGGAGGGTTAAGCTAGTCTGGACAAAGCTATCTAGTTGGCTGCCTGCACATGTTTGGAGTGCACTGGTATACCCAAAAGTAACCAGTCAAATGCACACCAGAGGGTATGGATATTGTAGATAGATAGCTAGCTATCGGTAGTGCACTAGCTAGCGCTTGCTAGCTAGCGCTGTCTGCGCTATCTCTATTATCTTAACAGAAGGTTGAACATTGTCCTATGTTATCTTAACGATAGGGCGATTAGGTTACATTGAACCGGTACTCGATGATGTCAGCACGTAGAAGGCCTACCACCGTCGTGTACGTAGAGGGTGGTAGGCTTCTACAGATGTGTAGAAGCCAACCACCGTGGCGTTCACCGAAAGAGCAAATTATTTGTTTAACACCTCTCGAATTTAGTCTTTGAATTGTCTTGAGCTTAAATCTCACTCTCAAGCTGAAATGTCACTTAGAGAGTGCAATTTCAGTCGCCCTATGTAATTTCAGCACGTATCACGCTTATTAACACGGGGCTTAGGCCGGTCTCTACCGGAGCGACTAAAGTAGCGACTAAGCCATATTTTGTAGTTTAGTCCATAGTTTAGTCTCTTGGGGTGGTGTCTACCCAAGCGACTAAACGTCATACGGACTAAAGCCTTTAGTCAAAATGTTGGTTCACCGACTAAAGGGAGGCTGGTTAGTCGGTGAGTGAATGTACCAACTAAAGCCTCTTTAAGAACAGCAAATCCAACAGAAAACAATACAACTGCATGCCACCGAGTTGGATAACAAATTGAGCTGATAGAGTAGAAGAACTCTTTAAGAATGAATCAGCGTCATTGCACAGCCTCACTATCAGAGCATCGCGACAGTGCTGATAGAGTAGAGGTGCAAAGAACGATAGTCGAACGATCGAAGAGGAGTATCGGCCGATAGTACTGTACTAGTAGAGGTGCGAACGATTGAATGATACTAGTATTTTATTAATAGTAGAGGTGCAAACGATCGAATGAATGATAGTAGAGGTGCAAACGATCGAACGATTGAATGATAGTAGAGGTGCAAACGATCAAATGAATGATAGTAGAGGTGCAAACGATCGAACGATTGAATGACAGAGGAGAGGTGCATCGCAATGGTGTGTTTTGAAGGAGTCTTGTTATCTCAAAAAAGTAATCACTTCTGTTAAGTCTTTTTTTGAGTCCTTTAAATCCACCATTCTGATAGAATATTGGTAGCCCAACAAGTGATCACTTTTGTTAAATCTTTTTTTAGTCCTTTAAGTCCAGTAGTGTTCCGTTTAGTCATTTGTTTAGTGCTGGGTAGACAGGTCCAAATGACTAAAGAACTGACTAAATTGTTTAGTTGGAGATTTAGTCATCTGCTGGTAGACACCACCATTACTAAAGAATAATGACTAAATCTTGAACTAAACAACCACCTAAAGGATTCCTTTAGTCGGTCCCTTAGTCGCTCCGGTAGAGACCGACCTTAGTGCAATTTCAGTGTCGCTATGTAATTTCAGAACGTCGACTTAAATTGCACTCTCCTACTTAAATCATACTGCTTTAAAAGAAGACCCTTGGATTTAACAGCCGAATCCCTTCAATTTGTTGTTTCGGTACGTACGCGACGGTCATAGGATTTCTACATCTGTGTACAAGTCTACCACCGTCTACATAGGCTACGGTGGTAGGATTTGCTACATACTGTACTTTTCCTACGACCGTGTACAGGAAGGTTTGTACTGTATTTTCTATACTCAGCAAAACTAATCACAATTACAATCATGAACACCGAGGCAAGGGCGCCCCACAGCGACGCACAGGACCTCTGTGGAAACTCGAGTCGTGCAACCGATCGTCTCCTAAATCCTTTTGATCGTCTCCTTTTTAATGGATTTCGTCTCCTAAAAATAGGAGACGAAACGGATCGTCTCTTAAATCTTTCGTCTCCTCTTAAATCGTCTCCTATTTTCAACGGATCGTCTCCTATTCTCAATGGATCGTCTCCTAAGAGCACCATGTAAACTGTATGGTATCGTCTCCTAAATCTTTCGGATCGTCTCCTATTTCGAAACGATCGTCTCCTAAATGGAATGTCTCCTAATGAATCGTCTCCTAAATATAGGAGACGATTGCTTTCGTCTCTTAAATTATTTCGATCGTCTCCTAAGCCTTGGTGTATCGTCTCTTAAGTAATGTGCCACGAATGACGTTTCCACAGAGGTCCAGCACGAGCAAGCAACAACCACCATGGAATCGGAGAACACGCTCGCACAGCTGAAGGAACGGCTTAAGGACCCTCCAGCGCATGTAAGTCACTAATACTAGGGACTGGTCGCACAACACGATAAGATCTAGCTCATTTTGCCAAATGGCACGATGATGTAATCCACCGGTTGTGGTGACGGATAACAGCCAATAAAATTAAACATGCCACTGCCAGTGGCCAATCACTGTTGATAATACCCATCCGGACATGTAGTGGACAGCCGCAACAGTAGGCGAAGGTGTATCATTGACGTAATCCATGTTGGAGGAGCACCCATTTCGCCCATTAACACCGTGAAACAAAATCTCATTGGCGAAGCTGTGGTCGAATTCCAGCTGTTGTCCTTATCACCGCTGTATCGGGCATATCCAATAGGCCAACGGATGTCATTGTCATTGTCATTGGGACCGGCAACTGAAAGAGTTAGGCCATCAAGAGTGGCATGTTTTCGTCATGTTGATAATTCAAAAAGGAGCCTCCCAACAGACTTTTTCTCTCCGAAAACAAGCCTGCCCATCCCTTTCTGGTGTCAGCAGAAATGGAATCCTGGTGATTTGGCGCTAACAATCCGCGAAAATGAGGTACCGGAATGCCCAACTCACATCTTGCTGATGGTCACAATTTGGTGGAATTGGAAAAAGGAAGGAAACAATCCACTTGCAAAAATGTTGTCTGCGTCCGACAGCAAGAATGCCATTGACTGGTGGCGTGTAAAACATCGCAGTGATGCATCCGTTGATTTCCTCGCTGATTTGATAATGTCCGGCAATGGGAACCCTCCGGTCCGTGTTAGAGATGAACATGGCCAACACCTCCCAACAGCCGGGGAGAAACCCAAACTTATTCTGGGTGAAATCCGGAAGGAATCTCGCCAGTATGGTATTGGAAAACCTCCTGTTAAAATACTTCGCATGTTTCTTATTGATGGAAGTCTGAATACATGCAAGGCAGTGACAAACAGTAATCTTACAAAGCATTTACTCAAAGATAAAATGCTCTACCCTGAGGCAACCATCACTCTGGAAGATTATGGCCTCATCCGATTGAGCCCTCAAAATGGTGATCAATTCAAAGGAATCATCCGTATCAATAAGTTCACGTGGACACCAGCCCCAACTGGAAAAGTTGTAGACTACAGCTCTGAGGAGTCTGATGACGATGATGAGATGGAACGCCCTCATAAGATGAGGAGCTACCCTCTAAGCTGAATTACTCTCACCACATTCCACCCTCATGTAAAGTGTAGGCTTCAAGAGAGCCTCATCACCTGGACAAGCCAGATTTGCGACTATGATCCAGAGTCTGACGTTGGGCTTGTTTACAATGGACTGCTTACCCAAGGTCAGTTGAGGCGGGGCATTCATGTTGAATGTGATACTGCCCGTGTTGATTGGATGGCCATGATGAATCATCGCTACTATGGCAGTGGTGACCCTTACCACGGCTGGAAAGACGACGTTAGTGAGAGTGAGAGTGAGAGTGAGGAGGCTGATTCGAAAGTCTGTGGTTGTGTCAAGCGATTTGGCCTTGCCAGTTGTGCTCTAAGTATGTTCCCACTTGAAGACCTTGATACTGACTACATGCTCGAGTCTGTCATCTTTTTTTTCAAGGATCGATATGCCGAAGATTTCGACTCTCTTCCCCAGGCAAAGAAGCGATTTGTCTTCTATTTCTGGTTTGCGACTAATCCTTTGTGCATTAGAGGCAATCGCCGTAAGTTGCCTTCTTGCATTTACAGTGCTGTCCGTGCCATGTTTCCAGATCCTGCCGGTGTCAAACCAACGGGTTATATTGGCACTGGAATGGATAAATGTGATGATGATGTCAAGCCCGTCAACCCTGAGTGGCTCAAGAGTTTACAGCAAACCTCTTTGAAGACAAAGGCTCTTATCGAAGAAGCAGCATCCAGTGTTCCAGAGACTTCCATGGAGGAAGATGGCTCCCCAGAAGTCCAACTGCAGAAGGTCGTCCCTCCTGTCGAAACCTCTGGAGAGCGATGAGATTATGCCATAGGAGCCATAGTATGGGTGCGGCGCAGCTGTGCTGGCTCAGTCTGGTGGAAAGATCGCTGCTGCATCTGTACACTCTTTCAGTACAATGAGCTGTGTCACCATCAGACAAGATAGGAACAGCTGTAGAGGACATAGAGTTCCTCTGCAAGGAAGGATGATGCAGTTCCTCAGCCATGACCTATCTAGAAAGATAGCTTGGTATATACCAGCCAAAAGAGATGCATGGATCTGTATCCTGCATGGCTGGATGGAGTTTCACGCAAAATCAGAGTTTGTGTTCATATTATAGTTTAAAGAAGTAATGAAGAAGTAGTTGACCAGATACAGACCCAACAGCACAAGTAGAGCTCTGCAGTAGACAGGATCCTGTATGGCCAGTGCCAGGGTATTGAGCAATTAGACTGTTCAATCATTGCTTCCACAGTGATTGAATAGCATTGGCTGCCAGCCTTGAGGCTGGCCCTTCCAGCGCCAGTGGAAGGAGATCTCCACCAACAGAGCTCTCCATCCCAGCTCTTGTGCACCTACCAGCTGAGTTCCTACCTGGAATTCATAGGAGAGAATAACAATCCAAGACCATTTGCACGTATGTCTACAGCTGGAAAGGCTCCTCGAAAGAAACCTACCTCTATTGCAAGGGCGAAGAAGAAGACTAAGTACCAAAAGACACGTGAGATCGAGAGGATCCGTACCTTTGGACTTCAACAAGAGCAGGCACATTCCTACTTCTGTCGCGAGTCCAGCAGCTGTGCAACCACTGACGAAGAAGAGTAACGCTTGCTTATCTGCGGTGTACTTTGTGCTACTGTTGCCGAATAAATTCAATGTTACGTACCTCCACTTGTGGACACCAACTGTTGCTGTTTTTAACCACTCTAAGGAGAAGTAATAAAGTCAGCTCTATTTGTTATTCTAAGCATCAACATCTTTATCCATCTCTATTATCTCGTCAATGATTTCTTCTGTTGTTCCCTCGGCACCTTTGGGATCATCCTCAAACTGGAAAGTGTCGAGTAGAGAACACTCTGCATGGGCAAGCTCAGCCTCTGTCATGATGACAGAAGAAATTGCACTCTTCTTGTTACTGGCAAGGTCATTCTTTGGAGCAGTGCAGTGCTTACTGGATCTATGTTTGTGTCCCCACGTGCCACAAGCCTTGCACCAATCATGGTCCTTTGTTCCACTGGGCTTATCTCCAACGGGCTGGGTAAATCGGTTGGATGCAGATTGTTTCTTTCGGTGAGGCTTCTTCGCAACTGGCTCCGCCGAAACGTCTTCCAAGGCAATGCCAGCTTGATATTGGCGATTGTTGTCTCTATCTTCTCTCAGCATCTCTTGATATTCGAGTAGTTTGTCGTACATCTCCCTCTTGCGCTTCTTCTTGTGTTCAACCTTCTTTATCTTGACTGCCTCATCATCCCGTATCTTCTGGAGACGATGTAGGAAATACTGCGTCCCTTCTTCAACATCCATTCCTAATTTGTCGAACAGTTTCTTGGAAAAGACATCATATCCAAGCAAGTGGACCCCAATTGCCAAAGCAACCCGATTCCTCAGCGATACTGAACCACAGTAAGTTCTGTTCTTTGGAGCATAGTGGGCTATGAGGTTGTTGAGAGACTCGTTGACTTGGGTATCTCCGCCATGCCCAACATCTTAAAGCTTGATAGGTGAAGTGAAATTCTTCATTATATCAACTAGACAAAGATATAAGTCTTTGTGCCTCTCTTTGTCTCTGTAAACTTTGTTGGAACTTTTTCGCTCTTCTTCGGACTCCTTCTTTCGTTGACACCAATCCCTGCAATCGGCATGTTCATCGAAGAGGTGCTCAAGCACTGCCTTGCCAGCACTTGGCCAATCTGACTGTGGCATATCCTTCAGCTGAGGGCACATATAGGAGAATCCCATTGATGTCCTCAGTATGTCTCCCTCTGTTATAAAACCTTCCTTTTTCCTCTTCTTCAGTTTGTACAGGTGCGTCTTCAACGTCTTCTTCCTGTGTGCCGGATCAGCAGCAAAGATTGGCTCTGGAATGTAGCCCGGCAATTCTCCTCCCTTTCTTGTGACCGGCACCAGTTTCCCTCTATAATCCTCGCGGTATCCAAGAATGGGCAGATTCGTGAGGTTGTAGAAAGACTTGTAGTCTGCATTAGACCACTTACAATTGGCTTTCATTGGGGTAAATAACGAGATTTTATTTTAAAGGCTACACCTCGTCAGACGATCCGCTGAACGGTGCCGTGACGAACCCATATACCTCAGGCGCACGAGGGCGCCCACTTAGGATGGGCCTAGTGTAAGCCCCCCACCGGAGAAATTGAACAAAACTCCGGAGGGTGCTGTACGACTAACTATCTAGGCTAGGCTAAATCGCCCGCTATTGCTATGGGAATCCCACATCGGCGCATAGTTACCCTGGACTGATTGGGAAGGCTGCTCGCGTGCATGCTCGTCCCTCATTGCTTTGGCAACAACTGGGAGCCAATTGGCCAGCCATGCCTTGATATCCCCTGGCCCTTTGGCCATCTGTTCCTCCAGGGGTCGCTTGAAGATGGTATCAAGGAGATGCTCTGGGAGCAGGTCCGCTTTTCCATACAGGAGCTCAACCTCTCGTTGGAGCTGTTCGTGTTTCTTGCGCCATTTCTGTTCCTGATCCCGGCCGTGCCTGGCGGCATTGCGGTCTTCCCAGAGATTCCACCACTGCTGGATCAGAACAGAAGCCAGATTGGTGACCCAAAGCTGCCCGGTCTTGGTGGTCTCCTGGGAGCCGACCCGGTGCAAATAGGCATCTTGGTGCTTGGCCCAATGCTTGGACAACCGTCCTCTCAGGAAGTTATCCCAACCAATGAGATTTTGAGTGTCAACAAGGTCCCTATACCGGTCTGGGTAGTGCCACGGGTGTAGGAATCGATCTTCAAAGTGATATTGAAGCCCATCAAGAACAATTTCCAGGAGGAAGGGGTCTGTGGAGTCCTTTCGCAACTTTGTACTGATCGCTCGTTGCATGGTCCCTCGCCACAAATCCACGTGAACATGTGGGCATCTGTAAACATGGGTCTCAGTCTCGTGATCACCGCCGCAACGGGGACAGTGGTGATCATACTTGGGGTCGTCCCGGTGTATTCGTTTCCCAACTGGCAACAATTGGAATAGAAACTTCACAATTGTCGGTTTGTGGATTTCATGACGGTTGACAGCACGACCATGGGCTGTCCAATCAACCAGTGCAGGGGTGTCCTCGTCCCAATCTGGATTCAGTTTGACAATGTGGTCGAACAATGGCTGGTCGTTCCTGAAATGCCGCAGTGTTCTGGGAAGCTTGTATGTGCATGTTCCCTTGGGAAGGTGCAGCTGGGCCAAGTTGGCCGGAAATCGGAGTACCTTGGAGTGATCCTGTTTGATGTGTCTGTTCATGTAGCTGCCTGCCAGTTTGCCAGCTCGGCAGTTCAGTTGAGCCTTCAAAGGTAGTGTTTCAATGGCCTTGTGCTTATCCTGGTGTGATTTGATGTGCTCCATCTTGGGCACTGTGACGGCAGCCCGAAACGAATCCTCGATCTGCTGCAAGACATCCCAGTCGGAGTCCAAGGAATCATTGGGGTACCAGCCCTCGTAATCCAGACAGCCAGCACACTTGTTGGTAACGGATTCATTGTTGCACAGGTGTACATAATTCTTCATGCTGGTTCGGTCGTAGAACTCCAGCAATCTCCGCAGAAGGTAAGTAGGGGATAGAATGCCATAAGCCTCCGCCCTGTAGGATGTCGGAACCATACCAAAAACGGGACCAGAGCACCGAAGCACAATCTGACCGCGATTGTCTGCCAGAACCCAAGCAAAACTTGCCTTACCGGCGTCAATGTCTGCAGCCCCATCACTCGCCACCCAGAAGGGCATGGCTGTGACAATCTGCAGGACTGAGTAGGCGTCCACCATCCATTCAAGCTCTTCATAGAGAGCTGTCTCCCAAGGCTCCAAAGTGGCAAGGAAATCCTCAAATGTTGTTGGTGTGGGTGGTAGTGGACGAGCAGGAATGCCTGCTGTGAAACCACTACCAACGACCACTGTCTCACGCTTGTTGAAGAGGGTCAAATCCAGGACTCGCCGCTTTCCAGAGTCTGGCTGAACAGAGGTGCAAGATCGGGGGAAGTAGGGATCCAGTGGCACCGAGTTGTGTAGGATGCTGGTGTCCAGGTAGG